ATATATGAAAGTTTAATGTTTATCAGTACATTACAGAAAATAATGAACTTTTTCACAATGTGCTAATTTTTTGAGAAGGACATGTAGAGGATTTTTGATTTAATACTTTTATTGTGGAAAATTATCCACAATAAACACAGTAAAAAGTTGGTTTTCTGAAAGTTTCATCAGACTGTAAACCTGCAGAAACTTTTTCTTCTGCTAAAATATTCAGAGGACAGTGCAGCTGTCTTTATTTGTAAGGAAGAGGAAGAACCAGCCCATCTTCTCCCGCCATCTTCTCTCCCCGTGGAGTCAGCTGTGAGACCGAGCCTTCGCCTCCTTCCGATGGGCAGAGATGATCCAAAACCAGCTTCAGTGGAGGCCCGGCTTCATGATGGGTGACTGTCTAACTCGCACACAGCAGCATCACTTACTGAGTGATGGATACAATTCAGAATAGTTCATTAAAGTTAATTAAAGGCCCAGCATTTCCTTGAGGAATGCCTATCAACATCCTGCCAGGATTTCAGACTAAGATCATCTCATGTTGACAAATGCCAGAGCTATAACTGTTTTAGTCAAACCTTAAAAGTATTGATATACATGATGTCATGTTATCATGAGATGCCACGCTCAGAGCATGTTTCATTAATGACTCTCAGCTTCTGCCATGTCAAGATTTATCTCAACATGTGTGTGTTGGCCAATTCTGGTAACATCTAAAGAATATTTTCATTGAAATTACACATCTCATGGTATTACAAAGATCACTGTGCTAACAGACAAAGTTAATGCTTACAGTTTAAACCAAGATTTAAAAAAGTCTGTCACTCAGTATAGGTTTGTGCAGTGAATGACCACAGCCACAACACATTGTAACACATTATATAAATTCAGTTCAGTTCAATTCGATTCAAACAGATGTTGTCTCAGGGCACTGTACACAAAAATCAAACAATCTAAAGAATCCTCACTTCAGCAGTCTCCCATCCTGAGCAGCACAATGGTGACAGTGGAGAGGAAAAACTCCCTTTCATAGGAAGAAACTTCCAGCAGAACCAGAACCAGGCACAGGACAGGTGGCCATCTGCCTCGACAGGCTGGTTTGGAGGACAGGAAAGAGACACAGACAAAAACAGGACTGGTCCAGGTGTATTTTCCTCTGGAAGAGACAAAGAAAAAACAGGTCATTGATAGAAGTAATTATAACAAACAAGTAGAGGAGAGATTAAAGACAACAGCAGAGTGAAGACATGTGCTCAGTTTGTTCTCCAGCAGTCTTATATAGCAGCAGAAATGAAGAATAATTCAGGAAACCTAAGTCTAACTATAGGATTTATCAAAAAGGAAAGTCTTCAGTCTAATCTTAAAAGTAGACAGAGTGTCAGCCTCACGGACAGAAACTGGAAGTTGTTTCCACAAGAGAAGAGCTTGATAACTGAAAGCTCTGCCTCCCATTCTACTTTTAGAAACTCCAGGAACCAAGTTCAAGTTTATTTATATAGCGCCAAGTCACAACACAAGTTGTCTCAGGGCACTGTACATAGAAAGAACAATCTAAAGAAGAAGCCAGCAGATTGTGTTGAATCACTTCATCACAGTCTCCCATCCTGAGCAAATGGAGGAGAGGAAAAACTCCCTGCTAATCAGGAAGAAACCTCCAGCAGAACCAGGCTCAGGACAGGAGGCCATCTGCCTCGACCGGCTGGTTGGAGGACAGGAAAGAGACACAGGTAAACACAGAAGAACTGGTCCAGGACTGCACCTTCTTCTGGAAGAGACAAAGAAAAAACATGATAGAAATAATTACAACAAACGTAGAGAACAGACCCTAAAGACGAGAGCAGAGTGAAGAAATGTGCTCAGTTTGTGCTCCAGCAGTCTAAGTCTATAGCAGCAGAAATGAAGAATAATTCAGGAAACCTAAGTCTAACTATAGGATTTATCAAAAAGGAAAGTCTTCAGTGTAATCTTAAAAGTAGACAGAGTGTCAGCCTCACGGACAGAAACTGGAAGTTGGTTCCACAAGAGAGGAGCTTGATAACTGAAAGCTCTGCCTCCCATTCTAG